TATTATTATATATATATATATATATATATTATATATATATATATGATATATATATATATATGTATATAGATGAAAGTATGTAAATGAAATAAAATAATATGAATTTTGTTATTTTTCGTTAATTTATTAACAAGAAATGGTTGCGTTAGTATTTGAATTAATCGCATTATTCACTGCCCTGACATATGCCAACTTATCGATTAATAATGGCGATAATGTTCGGGATATTGTACGAGGAATGGAATTAATGGGTATAATTCAAAAGATACCAATTACATCCAAGGAAGTAACCAATACTACAGGTACTTGATAGGTTCTCGCTTAAGAATAGTATTGAGAGTATGTTGATATTTCAAAGTCATAGCAATCTCTCGTCTTTTTCTTGTCTTTCCTCCAATAGAATTAGGGAAATGGGATTTTTTTTTGGTTTGAGGAAAGTCAAAGTGATCTAAGTGATATATGATCGATTTTTTCTTATTTTTAAAGCTTCTAAAAAGATAAATTATCGGTATTGGTGCGGCGTACATCATTAAATCAATTTAATCAAAAATTTGATTAAATTTTAATTGATGGTTTGATTGAAATTAAATTTCGGTTAATTATCGATTAATTGTCGAATTCTCAATACTTTCAACATAAATAACTGTACAGATTGTACTAAGCAATACCGTATAGAGCATTACGACAGTAGCAGCAAATTCGGAATATCACCACGACCGTATCAGAGTTCGCTGACAAAAATACGCTGGAAAATAAAAATGTTCTGGGCGACTGTTATTGTAATTTCGATCCTATGGATATTAATCTTAATCGGCTTAATCGTTATTGTGTACATACGAATTGTACATATGCATCATACTATTTCGCAAATATTTTGTCCAAAAGATTAAAGTTTTGCACTTGATGAATAATTTAAGTTTAAATTAAAATTTCCACCCTTCAATTTATTTATTGCAAAAATAAGGACGAGAAAGTTTTAAACAAAATTCGCTTAATAACTAGTTGCAGGATAATGAACTTGTGCATAAATTACGTTCATTGCATGTGTTTTACAATTTTGGAAAAGTGATCTTTTTTGCGTAATGACATGTGTTGTTCACGTTATCTTTCTCACGTATTCGACGTGTATCGTTCACGTTAACTCACAATTATATGCTTGTTGAAGCAATATCGCTTTCGTACGATTAACAAGAGGAATTTCACTGATCAAAATGTACGGTAGCGTACATTCAATAACATTGAATGTACTGAAGTCAACGATGTACGTTCGATAGTTTCGGGAAGTTAACTTCACGTAATTGGTAATCTTTGTCACGCACGTAAACAGAATTAAATTAATTCGTTCCATACAAATTCAAGTACTGGTTCTCGCTCATTTCTCGAGGAGGCCCTAGGATTTGCAGCGTACGCTGCAAGTCACAACATATAGCAATGCTCAGGGTTTACTGGATTGTGATATAATGAGATGACGGTCGGAATATTTGGGAAGTTCGTTCTCGGGATGTTTGGTGTGGTTTCTGAGGTTTATATTTTTTAGTTGTCGGTTTATTTCAGTTGTAGGGTAACGTGATTAGATACGTGATCATAGTGATCAGTGTTCATAATTTTATGACCTGATATATGACCAGATATTTTTCCAGGTGTGATAATGTCATTTTTTATCAGGAATCGATCCAGTCATGGTAGTGATACAAGGATGAAAAAGAAGGTATTTTGTTGTCGTATTGCATAGACTCCCTATGAACATCTGAAGCTAACTGTTTAAAGTTATTCTACTTTAGAGGCGGCGTTTGTTTGCAACGCATAAATCCCATATTTTTGTTGAACATGGAGGTTTTATGAAGCTTCCACTAAAAGGAACATATAAAACGAACCACACTATGATTTAACCAACTATTCAATCTTCATCGTTTATAAGTAAAGCAATGTTGTTAGTTTAGTTGAAACGGAAGTTAACTGTGCCGAAATTATCGAAACGAAAGGCTAAATTAGCTAATGAGGATATTTCCTCAGATGAAGAGGATTTGTTGTATGATAATAGTGGCAAATTTGTTGAAAATCGAAGTGACGAGGAAGAATATGAAGACGTGCAAGAGGTGGCATATCGAAAAGCAAAACAGCTTTTGGACGATATTCAGGTATTTTAAGTATTTTCTAAAGAATTTAAATGTTCCATATCATATTTACATATTTATACTATATCTGGTACATCTAGATTTCAGTCTCTAAATATGCGGATTATTATAGTACGTCATATGTGAAGAAATTACTTGCGATATTATGGTTATGAAATTTATCTCTCTAATGCGTAATTCATTGTTTCTTGTATGCAAAATATTGGTTGTAAGTTAATAGCAGTGCATTTATCAACACAAATAAAACATGGAAGAATGGAACTGTATTCTAGGTGTTTTATTTCGAGATGACTGTCGAGGTAAAACAGTGGGTCGTAATATTTATTTCATAATTTCAGTTTTAATAAAGAATTTGAAATTTACTGTAGGTATTGATTTAGGGTGAACAACAGAATGAAGAAGGTGAACCGTACGATAATGAGGTAATTACCCATCGTTTACGAGATGATGCTTTATCGAAAGTTCCAACTCTACATCGAAGAGTTGCAGAGGAAGTACGATTGAATGGTACTGCGATACAGTATAAAGCCCATAGGTTGGTAATGTAATTTCTTACATATTCCTTTCAACATGAGATTTATTTGCAACTATTTTTGGAAGAAAATATAAGATTTGCAATCAGGAAGGTTGACTATTTAATCATCTATTCCTAAACAATGACTGAGTATACTGCAATAGATTTATGGTTAGTCTTTCCTTCGAGGTTTATATTCAGCGCTTTATGGATGTTCAGGATTTTTTCCTTTTTTTCTGAGTAATGAGTGATGAAAATGTCGTGAATACTCGATTATTAAGAATATTACTAGTAATCATTTTGACTAGGTCATTGGACGTTAACTTTCTTATATTTTTAACAATGTTATGGTTTTAAAGGTACTGACATATCACGTTTTGTCTCTTTAAGTATTAATAGGTCATGAGATGAAGGAACCAGAAATTCAACTGAAAGATTATTTTGCAACCAAAACTTCAGCAAAAGTAAATTGATATATGCTGAGTAAATAGTATTATTCTTTAAAGCTTATGTAATGCTAAATTTTAAGTTCCAGGTACTCAACCGTTGCAGTTGTCATATCGCATGATGGCAGATATGTGGTGAGTTGCTCGAAGGATGCAACGATAGCGAAATGTTAGTTTATTAGGCAAAAAAAAAGTTCAAAATTTTGCCAACATACACTCATGTATTGTACTAAGATGAGCAGGATTGTTGTAGAGAAATTATCATTGAAAGGAAGATGAAATAATATAAATATGTAAATAAGCTTTGGAAATGTTCGCATCACTTTTGCTGTTCCAATTTTCCCAAACGAAGAGTCGTCTGTTCTTTGGAATTTGTTTGGAAATTTCATCATTTTTCAGATGATTTGGAAGAAGGAAAGATAACATCTTCTATAAAATACGTTAAGGGAAATTGCATGTCTCATCGAGGCCAAATATTTTGTCTTGCAATTTCGGCCAATGATCGATATCTTGTATCTGGTGGTAACGATGCGATTATACGGGTTTGGAATTTCAGCAATTTACAACATGTTAAAAATCTTACCGGACATATGAATGCGATAACCGGTTAGTTTCCTGACTACTTCATGTAATCTGTTTTTTAACTTTCGACATATTCTGAACTGTTAGATCAATCGGATGGGTCCTATGCTTTTACTTTTTGTGCATAAAAAGTTTCGAAAAGTGCTCAGTCATTAAACCGATCTTTTGTTATTTTATAGGATTAGTATTTCGATTGAATACTCAACAACTGTACAGTTGCTCCAAAGATCGATGTATTAAACTATGGGATTTGGAGCAGCTGGGATACGTAGATACGCTGTTTGGTCACGTTGATGCAGTGGTCGACATTGACGCTTTATCAAGGTAAAATTTCTAGAAATTCTGGAAATAAATTCAATGTCCACTGTCATTTAATACTTGTTATAATTCGAAATTTCACGGATTTTTCCATAAATTTTAGCACCATATCAAAATATAATGGAATCAAACCAAATTTGATTTGCTAAATTTTAGTTTAATAGCTTACAAAACCAAATTTGATTTGCTAAATTTTAGTTTAATAACTTTAATAGCTTTTAATAGACAAGTTTTATGGAAATTGAGAAAAGATATTTCAGAATTTGAGAATGTAAATTTATTTACAGGGAACGTTTGATAACTGCAGGTTCGCAAGATCGTACCGTGAGGTTATGGAAGGTGCCTGAAGATAGCCATTTGATATTTAACGGTTATTCAAGTTGCTTTAGCATTGATTGTGTAGCACTTATCAATGAAGATCATTTCGTGTCCGGTTCAGCTGATGGGTTAGTTAAGCTATTATCTCTCTTTCGATTTGCTGGCAGAAGAAACGAGAATTAAAATAGAAGGGAAATCAATTTCATGCTTTTCTGAGAAATTTTTGTGCCATTTAACGTCTGCTAGCATGCGGAAACAAAAAAAAAAAGAAAAAAGGCTTATAATTGACTTTACCACCGGAGTATGCATGGGAAAATCATGTGATTTTATATGTATTTTCTTCTTTTGTTTAATTTGATTTGTTGTTTATAAACTGGAAAATAATTCTTAAGTTTCATGTTTTTTCAGAAGTTTGTGTATTTGGTCAACGTTTAAAAAGAAACCAGTTTGTACACAAGTGGAAGCACATGGTCGCGGTGTTGACAATCAGGCAAATTGGATTGTTTCCGTTGCTGCACGACGATACACAGATCTTATTGCATCGGGTTCCTGTGATGGATTTGTTCGTTTATGGAAAGTTGCGGAAGATTATAAATCGATAACAAATATTTTGTCGTATGAACGAGTAGGTTTTTGTAATTTTTTTTTGTACCGATATAGGAGCTTTGAACCTTTAAAAAGTTCAGATTATTTTTAAAAAACAAATCAGTTGTTCTATGATCATATTCCATCTTGAACATTTTTAATTACTTTCAGTAAATCAGGATAAGGATCAATAAAGCTAGATGATGTACTATGAAACTATGATAAAACTAACGTCAGTAGCCCATAATATTAAAAAAAATTGTAAAAGGTTTATTTTTAGTTCCAATTTTTTCTTGTGGTCACAGTCGGTTAAATTCGATTCAACGTTAAGATTTCCTAATGCATTTTCATGCATCTTTTATTTATTTAAAAAATTCTTTTTAAATTTGTTTTTTCTTTTAGAGTGGCTTTATCAACCAGCTTAGGTTTTCGGATGATGGTGAAGAAGTGGCATGCGCCGTGGGTCAGGAACACAAATTTGGAAGATGGTGGAAGATTGCTGAAGCTAGGAATGTCATTACAGTTTTTTCACTTGCCTATAATGCTATAGAATAATTGTTATACTATTCAACGTCATTTTTACTGAAGAGTAAATCACTGTACGAAATGACGAAACAGTTTTTTCGTTCGAAAATGTGTCAAAAGCGAATAATTTTTTTCTATGGAAGGGCGATTGTAATGCCAATTAAATTTCGACACAGTTTAAATGCAGTTTAAATTTAGTTGACAGAAAAATCAGTCACACGATAGTGCAAATGAATTATCAGTTGTTGCTTTTTTTTTGTCTTCATTTTTATCAATATAATTCAGGAACTTCGAAGGTTTTGCACAATTTCACTATTTCATATTTGCTGTTTACCATTATCAAACATAACTAATGCAAAGGATTTGCTTTTTGAGTTAAGTCAAAGGGAGTTCAGAGGAAAAAAGGTGCAAGGAAGGAAGGGAGAATTTTGTAGGAACATTCAGACTATGGATTGGGAAAAATACTG